CGTTTGTCAAAAACGACAAACGTTTGTCGTTTGTGACAAACGTTTGACAAACGTTTGACAAACGTTTGACAAACGTTTGTCGCCGACATTTCACATGCACATGTGATGTGCGACGTGGCGCTGAAATATCCACAAAACTTATTATTAGGTGCTTGCATTCCGAATATTTGCGACGCATGTGCATATCTATTTATGGACTCACAAACTGCATAACCCATTGCGTATGTATCGCCCATGCGTGACAATATGCTTATAATTGTCGGTATGAATGGGCGATTCCTGCATGCATATTGTTTGATTCGGCGATTGTTAGTAAATTGCCAGAGTTCCTGTAGTTACTTGACGCCCACAGTTTGTATTGTTGCCCCCATGTCTCACCTGCACCTTAGATTGATTCCCCCCTCGGTGTGCGACCGCATATGTTATGCATTACTATGCACGGCAAGTGGACGCCTAGTTATTCGACCCCACAACGTTGCAATATGGTGCCAGCTGGTATCATGGCTGGCACGTTGACATTAGAAGGTGTGGCCCCGCGGGTGCCCAATGGCGACGCGGATGACTGCGAGGAGGAGCAGGGAGGACATGCTCAATAGAGGAATGATGATGATGAGCACGGGAAAGGAACGCTGATATAATTGCGATGCCCCCGCGTTTTGGAACGAGAGCTCTATAGGGGTGGGGGGGTGGGAGGGCGTGGCATGAACAGGGTGCACGGGCTACCAAACCGATCGACGTTGTCTTGGCTTGTGGTGTCGCCACCTTGCTATCCGTATCTCCTGCAGTCGGGGCGCTGACCTAAGGAATCCTAATTAAGGAGCGGGGGCCCTTTTCCCATGCGTTAAACTTCGGCGTTCAATCGAAAGCTTACTGAACACCTTAAGGAGACTGTGACACACGTAAGGAACACAAATCGCCCTCCCAACGACATTCGTTCCTTCTTCAGCGCCCTGACTGCCAGTTCTACAAGAAATCTGGAACACATACCTCCTCGACCCTGAGGCTAGCAGGGTGCACATCGGAGTTCCTGGCTCAGTACGACGATCCTGAGACTTTTTCGACATCGGGCGATGAGTCCGAGCGCATCGTGGTACACGCCACATCCATTCTGAGAGCTCTCCTACTCTTCAGGCATAGCATGTTCAGACTCTGAGAGTCGTATACGTACATGCAAAATGTCACCGAACGTGCACAGTACAGACAACTCGCAATCGAAGCGCATTGTCTGCCGAGCCTGCAGCGTGCATCCCTGCGCAGCCCCCAATCGCGACACATGTCATGCCACGTCGCTGCAAAGACGCTGACAGCACAGATACTGTACACTCAAAAGCTGCGACTGATAGATCAATCCCGATCGGCTGCCAGCATCTGAGCACGGAGCAGCACAGTGGAAGATTTGCTCAGCTTCTTCGAGCAAGACTGCTTCATTATTTTCATGAGAAGCTCGGCGTGCTCTGGGGTATGCGACGCGCTGCACTCTACGAAAAGACGACGCTTCTGCTCAGCATCGAAAAAAAGAGAGTAACTCTTGTGGGTCCCATAAACAGCAACGATGTCCCCCATGATCGGGTGCTTCCAGCTCCTGACCAGGGGCTGGCTGTCCACGGCAACATTGTCCTCGATCAACTTCTTGGAGCTGCCCGTCTTGGGCGTCCTCTGGATGGCGACCTTCCCAGTGGGCGTCTTCTGGATGACGGCCGTCTGCTTGAGCGTCTTCTGGATGACGGCCTTCTCCTTCTTCGTCATCCGGATGGTGGCATTCTCCTTCTGGATGGTGGCCTTCTCCTTCTTGATGGTGGCCTTCTCCTTCTTCAGCTTCTGTACGACGGCCTCTCAGAGACAGCGGCGGGTTGGGGGCGAGGCGCCGCAGCTGTTACCTCCTCTTCGTCCTCCTCCTCATCCTCCTTATCCTCCTCAGTATCATCATCACCATCATCATCATCACCATCATCACCATCATCATAATCATCGTCAACATCATCATCATCAGCATTGTCATCATCCTTATCATCGCCATCATCATCATCAGCAGCATCATCATCATCATCATCATCATCATCATCTTCATAACCACCACTATACTCAGCAGTATCATCCTCCTCATCATCGCCCTCCCCACCGCTGCTATCCTATCACTGGTCTGCATCGTCGGTCGAATCTGAAACGGTCTCCGAATGAGCTGGGGTCCCACGGGCGCAACTAACCCAATCTGGAACGCCCATCGGCCAATCCAATCAGCCATTGCACGCACCAGTTCGCCACCCTACCTACGCTTTCCGAACGAACCAGCAGCGCACTTGAGCTGGGCCCACGACCTAACGAGCAGACACGGATAGCAACAACATCCCATGACCACAGTTGCTGTCCCATTCAAAGAACATGCCCCGCGCCTTCCTCGTCGGCATCTGGTCTGCCATCTTTGCCATGGCCAGTAGACGGGACGGGTCCTTGGCGCCATTCTTGGGCGGCGTGGTGTCTTGATCATGCACGTTCTTCTTCGCGGTGCTCTTGACCGTGGCGGGGGTCTTCATCGGCCACTGGCAGACGTCCTGGCGCGGTGGCGGGAGGGGGCCCCGTCTGACGGGAGGTTGCCTCATCCTCACTCTCCCACTGGCTCCTCAGCCCTCTTGCCTCCTTCGGTCATTGTCCTTCGCCTCCCTCCCTTTTTCCTAGTCAGTCCATCATCTTATGTCAACGTCCCTCTTCGTATTCATCCCCCGATTCCGCCGTCCCCCGTCATATGTCCGCCCTCTCACTCCGCAAGTCAGGCGCACATCGTCAAGCCTCCATTCGACACGGTCCAGGGCCACCGCGATTCGGACAGCCCCAGAAATATGATGCGTACGCACGTCATCATTCCGAAAGGCAGCTGCCCTGACAACTTAAAACCGAGTACGATTACACATGGTGGTGACAGGGTTGGAGATGATGACGATGCAGATGATGATGTTGATGCCCAGACTGATGATGCTGGTGATGATTACCGAGATGACGCTGATGATGTTGTTGGTGATGCTGCTGATGATGATGATGCTGATGCGAAATTCACAAGCACAACATGATGCTTAACTTCCCGTCAACGTGCACTCCGTCCACTGCGAGTGCATTGCGTTGGCCTCCCACGAATAAGAAAATGAATGAAAGTTCCTCCAGTGCAGTCAGAGCGGGTATTATGTTGATTTGAATCACAACTCGCCCCCCTCCATGTCATAGCGCTGGGGTATCTGGTTAAAAATGATGACGCTGCCCGACCGCAGTGGAGGAACTTGTTGCACCTGCGTGCACGGGCAGCGCTTCAGTCCCTGAAGCGATCAAATTTCAGCCAGAACGCCAAGTTAATCATCTCATGATCGCTGAGCTCGGGTGTCTCGGCCGTTGCTCCACCCTGCGTCAACATCGATGTTTGCTCGCGCTGCTGCTCTGGCATCTTCGGGATCGTCGGCTCGTGGTTCTTCGGCGGGTTTGGCTGCTGCGTGCACGATGGCGCAGCCATGTGTTCTGGGCCCTTCGACTGGTCCTCCAGCGGCTTCGGGGTGTCGGCCGACGGCTCCTCGAGGTGCTGCGCGAGCTTCGTCTCCTGCTCTGTGTCATTCTGGCCACTACTCTCCTGTCCAGCCTCGGGACTTGGTGGCTCTGGCTGCTCCACGGGGGGCTGCGTGTCCGAGCCCATGTCGCCACGCGGAGTCTGGCCCTTGACCCAGGCCCCGAGCTCGAGAGGCTGGGGTTCTGGACTGCTGGCGGCCTCGGCTGGCTGGGTGCCAACTTTGAAGCCAAGCTGGCGCGCCATGATCCGCTCGGCGGGCGATGGGCACACCTCCGCCCAGGGCACGTCGGGCCTCGACGTCCAGGAAGAACTGCTGCTGCGCGGGGGGCGCGTCGAACTCTCGCGCTTCGCCTGACGCCGAGCGTACTCCATGGCCCAGTCGTCTGCCGTGCTGCATGGTGCTGGCGCCCAGCTCGGCAGAAGATCGGACTGCGCCTCATCGGCTGGCTTCTGGCTGACCTGCTCGGGCGGGCTCGTCTTCTCCCTCAGGCGCCGTCTCTTGGGGGTAGCCGACGCGTCCTAGCGTTCGACAAAGATAGGCCGAGGGGGGTGTCGACGATGAGGAGTGCGAGTACGAGAATGGGGCGGGAGCTTTGAAGGCGAGAAGGGGAGGGGCTATCACAGGCGGAGGTGCGCCAAGGGCAGGAGGAATAAGAGTCCGGGTGCGAGGGCGAGAAGGAGGATGAAGGCACCGATAAAAATGAAGAGGGAGGGTGGTACAGGCCATCGATTGCGGTGCCGCTCCCCCGAAGAAATGGTCTCGCACGATCCGCTGTTCTCAACAGGGCGACTGGACGCTGGCATCGGAGACTCCGTCGGGGCCTGGTTGGCTGGATCTGCCATGTAGAGGCCGCGAATGATCTCGGCGCACTTCTGAACGAACTGAATCGGAAACTCTGGCATGAATGCGCCTCTGATCGCGGGCACAGCTTGGAACTCGTAGCTTGATGGTTTTGCCTCGGAGGGCAACAGAAATCACAGCGGAAGTTTGCAATGGGGGTGGTGCAACGGGGACGCGGGCACCCATGTAGGGTTCGACGGGGGGGGGGGGTATTGGGTGCGCCACCGAGTATTTCTGTTCCCCCCAGCGGCCTTCTCCAGACCCCTGAACGCCGCATCATCAGAAATAATGTGAATCTCCCCGAGTGTATCGCCTCCAAAACCACCGAGGCACGTGAGACTCGTGACGTTGGCAACCAAGGTCCGCAAGCAATGCACTGGCTTGTGCACCCACAGGATCGACGGCTTCGGGTGCACCCACGCTTGATGCACCTGAAGCCGAAAATCGGAACATATCCTCAGTGATCCTGATGTCGACGTCCACCTCCCCCTCCTGCTCTTCCGTTCCTCCTTTCTCCCCCCTCCTCGTTGATTTCGCCCTGGGTGGGCATTGAATTTAGATCTCAGGCACCCCCCGAAGCCAACAAATGAGCCCGACAATGGTGCACCGCTCGACCTGGAGGTTCGCGTCGTGTATGAGCTGCTGGCTAATGTCCCCCCCTGGGTTCTCTTTGGTCCTCGACTGCGCGGCTGCGTCCGAGGGGAGCCATGTCGCAGTCAAGGGCGTAAAGAACACGGTGCCCCCCTGCTGGACGCGTAGGCTCAGCTCGAGGAGGTGCGCGAAGCCCTCGTCCCCCAAGACGTCGTGCTGGCGGCCGTAGAGGTCGTTGTAGGGTATGCTCGGGCCGAACAAGCTGCACTCCTCGGAGATAGACGTGGACCCAATCACCTCCAGGCACACAAGGTCGCGCCGATCGGGCTGGAGCGCGGCCAGGAACGGGGCGCACGCCTGGAGGATGAAGAGGAGGAGCTTGTCCTTGCTCGCCTTCAGCTGCGCCCAGCGGTCGGCCAAGAAAATCTGCTGGGCAACGTCGTCCAACCCAGGCTCGTCGCCCTGCTGGCCATCGGCGGACATGCTGGGGCCTCAAGGGCCCCAGAGGGCGCCGCCTGGCGCCTGGCCAGGGCTCTGCCTGGCACTGCGAGCCAAAAGTGATCCACGGAAAATTTGCATCTTTCGGCGGCAACTCATGGGAGCCTCTCATGCCATATTGTCGGCTCTTGCGAATCGACGCCAGTCAGCGCTAGTCAACGCTAGTCGACGCGAACTCGACGCTAACTCGACGCTATTCGAGGCTAGCCGACACAACGTCGGCGCTATCTCATCGACTCCCAGACGCTACTCGACGCTAGTCGACGCTACAGACGGAATACAACCAACATTTTCCGTTGCATCCTTCATTCACCTTCTATTGTCCTATGCGTTACCATCCGATTTCTGTATGTTCTCGCATCCACTCCCATCCGCTCTCCTTTGCCCGTCCTCGCCAGCCACCGCGTATTCCTCCCGCACTTTGCCCCTTCCCTTCCCTCATTTCCGTGTCTGGGAGCGTAGGGGTTTAGGGGCCGCAAGGTGTTTCGAGCGGGGTCGGGGTGAGGCTCGTTTGCCCCCCGATGTCCGCTGGGGGGGGGGGGGGGCTGTTGCGGCTTAGGCCCCATGGGGTAGTTTGGAGGGGTTGGCGTCGGCAGGGTGGATCGGGGCCTGGCGAAATAGGAGGTGGGTTGACAGCGGGCGGCGAGACATGATGCTGCTGATGGTGATGGTGATGATGATGCTGATGATGAGGAGGAGGAGGAGGAGGAGGAGGACGAGGAGGAGGACGAGGAGGTGGAGGAGGAGGGGGGGGGCGAAGAGGAGGAGGAGGAGGAGGAGGAGGATTAGGAGGAGGAGGAGGAGGGGGAGGAGGGCGATGGAGGGGAGGATGGGAGGAGGGCGACGTAGCACCCCCACCCCCCACCCCCCGTGGCCGCGACAGTCCTGGAGGTCGTCCCTCGGCACGCCCAGCTCCTCGAGCTTCGCGTTGTACTCGTCGCTCGAGTCCTCGGGCCGTTTCGGTTGGGGGCGCAATACCCCCCCCCGTCGGTCTCCAGCATCATCATCGTCGCCACCGAGAAGCAGAGCCATCATTTTCAGCAAAACCACCATCATCATACTCACCATCAACACACTGACCATCCTCATCGTCGTCATCATACTCATCATCCTTGCCAACACTACCAGCATCATCGTCATCATCGTCATTACCCTTGCAATCATCATCAGCATCACATCATCATAATCAACATCGTCATCAGCATCATCGCCACTATCATCGTCCTCGTCCTCGTCCTCGTCATACTCCTTATCCTCATCCTCATCATTACACCCATCATCAGCGTCAGCAGCATCACCACCAACATGATCATTACCAGCTGTATCATCTTCAGCAGCATCATCATCATCACCATCAGCATCAGCAGTACCATCCTCCTCATCATCATCCTCCTCATCATCATCATCACAATCACATGCATAATCCTCGTCAGTATCATCAGCATCATAATCATACTCAAAAGCATCATCATCATCATCGTCATCACTCTCGTCTCCCCCATCACCCGCAACACCACCATCATCATCAACACCACCTCCACCCCCACCCCCACCACCAGCATCATCATTACTACCACCACCCTCCTCCTTCTCCTCCACCTCCTCCTCCTCATCATCATCATCATTATCATCATCATCATCACCACCACCGTCATCATTATGATCCCTCCTCATCTTTCTGACCCTCCGCGTGTCGTCTGGTCCTCTTCCTGCCCTCCCTGCCCCCGTACTTTCCCTTCCCTACTCCCCCTCTCTCCATCCAGCCTGAGTCCTCGTCTCTCTTCCTCGTTCCCCCTCACCCGTTGGATAAAGACGCAAAGCGGTCCTCGTCGTGGACCTCGTCGCACACGGAGCCGTCGACCGAGCAGTCGGGGTGCTCCGAGCCGTCTGGGCCCGAGCCGTCGAGATCGGCGTCGACCTCCGTCTGGAGGGCCGCGATCGGCACCTCGAGGTGAGGATGCGTGGCCATCATCCTCATCCTCATCCACATCATCATCCTCATCAGCATCATGTTCATCATCATCACCATCATCATCACCAGCATCATCAGCATCAGCATCATCATCGACATCATCACCATCACCATCATAAACACAATCATACTCACCAGACTCATCATCATCGCAATCATCAACATCATCATCATGTGCATGCTCATGGTCATCACCACCACCATCATCACCAGCATCAGCATCATCATTATCACCATCACCATCATCACCATCATCATCATCATCATCATCATCATCATCACACTTCCCATCATCATCATGAGCATCAGCATCAGGGTAGGAGAGACAAGGATCGAAACCCCAGCTACCGGATCAAACCGAGACCGTCGGGCAGCGGCCCCGACCGACGACGCTCTCGACGACGGCGCCCTCGGGGATGGCAACGGGGACGGTGCTGCACTCGGGGAAGGGGCTACAGTAGGCGGGCGGCCCATGAGGTGCAAAAAATAATTGATCGAGCTCACCTCCTTCTCGTTGCACGTCGCCAGGGCCTCTCGGGCGCGTGGGTAGATTAGGGGCGGCCTAACCGACCCCTAGCATGACATCCCTTTCCGCGACGCCCGAGATGCATGCGTGCGGCCCGATGGGGAGGTCGAAAGGGGAGGATGACGTCATGGAAGGGGATGGTTTGCGAAGGGTCGGTTTGGCCTCGATGTCGGGTGCCAGCAGGAGGCTAGTCGGCGGGGGGCGCCGTCGGAGAGGGACCGCGGGCGGCGGCGATTGCAGAGTTAGAATGAGGGTGAACCGACATGGGCGGGCAGCAACAATTCCGAGTCATCGGCGCAAACGTTAGGGGGATTTCCAAGCACGGTTAGAATCAAGAACAGTAACACTTGGGATCTGAGCGCGCGGTAGCCGCAACAGGGATTCGATGAGCAGGGAGGGGAACCACACGGACTATTGAGGGAGGACATGCAGCCGTAGTAGAAGGGGGAGGAGAAGGATGAGAAGGAGGAGGAGAAGGAGGAGGGGGGGAGAAGTAGGAGGAGAGGGCAGAGGAGGAGGAGGAGGAGGAAGAGGATTTTGATGAGGGTACTTCCTCATCCAAATACCCCTGCTGCGAAATCCTCCCCCCCCTCTCGCGGCTTCCTGGCGGAGCCGCGTCTGACAATCCCGTAGTCGACGGAGATGTTTGAGGATGACGCCGATCTTGTCGGCGAGGGAGGCGGCCTTGTCCACCGCCGAGGCGGTGGACTTCTCCGAGGTGCACTTGGGGTACCTTGGATGGGGGTACCAGAGAAAGCAGGAGAGGGAGAAGCACGATCATTATCACCATCATCAGCAGAATCATCATAATCATCATCACCACCATCATCACACTGATCATTCGTTTCATCAGTATCGTCATCGTCTTCGCCATCATCCTAATCGTCACCATCATCATCAGCAGCATCATCATCATCACCATCAGCATCACCGCAATCACCATCACCGCCACCATAACCTCTATCAACATCATCCTCATCATCATCAAACACAGCATGATCATCTTCAGCAGCATCATCCGCATCATCATTATCCTCCTCCTCCTCATTATCATTATCGTCACACTTGCTCTGATCCTCCTCGCAACCCTGACTCTCCGCATTTCCCTTTTTACTATGGCCATCTTCCTGCCCCCCTCCTCCCATCCTCTCTCACCTCCCACCCTCTCAATTCCCACCCCCGAGCTTCCTCCTCCATCCCTTCATCGCCGAGTCCAGTCCCCCTCTGACACCACCGCCCCCGCGCGCTAACCCGAAGTCGTTTTCTACACCCGAGGCACGCCACGATCGCAGCGTGGCAGGCTGTGCGGAGCACGGAGAACGTGGCGTCGACCTCGGGAACGTTCTTGAGCAAGACCTCCACCTGCAGCTCCAATTCTTCCTGCTCCTTCCTGTCGATCCTCACCTTCTCCTTGCTATCACCCACTTCGTCGTTATCCTAGGTGCCCTCCTCCTCATCGCCACCATCCTGTATTCCCTCTTCCTCCTCCTCCTCCTCCTTCTCATCCTCTCATTCCTTCTCCTATAAATCCTCGTGCGCATCATCGCCATCCCTCGTCTTTCCCAGATTCCATCCTCCAACGCATTGTCGTTTCCCTTCACCTCTTCCCCTCCGCCCCGCATTTCTGCGTTCCAGCCACCAGCTCGGCCATCTGGTGCAAGGACCGCGCATGCACCGCGCAGTCCCGCCTCAAAAACTCGTAGCGCCCTAAAACGAACGATTTCTTCGAGCCAACTTCCTCCACGTAGCTCACGAAAGCCTTGGAGAGGTCGGCCGCATTGACGGCCGGAACAGGGCGGCGGACAGGTGGGGCACTCATGGTGCCAGAAATGCTGGAACTCAGCCAAATGCGCTGCGTGCGCGCGCGCTCTCACCAGAAAGAGTGGGAGTCAGAATCAGAAGCATGCTCAACCCTGATCAGGGGTGACCATACTTCTGATTCTGGCCCCCACTCCTTCTGGCGATAGTGGGAACGGAACTCCCAGCATTGAGAGTGGGAGTGGGAGAAGATAATAATGCGCACTGGAAACGGAGTTTAGAATGAAGTGGGGTAATGGAGGTTGGGGTATCGCATGGAGCAGGAGTGGACGCACCACTGGGTGCAAGAGTAGCGGGGGGGGGAGCGCGAGTAAGATAATAAGAGCAGCTGGGAACATACTTGTCGTGCTCACTCACTCCTAAATTCTTCCTTCTCCCCCTCCTCCCTGTTTCCACTCCTCCCCTCACCCCTCCATCTTCATCGCCATCACCATCATCATCCTCATCGTCATCATCGCCATCATCATCATCATCACCATCATCATCCTCATCATCCTCATCATCCTCATCATCATCATCATCATCATCATCATCATCCTTCTCATCATCAGCAGCATCATCATCATCAGTGCGAACGGTTGAGGTGACGGCCACGATGACGACGAGAATGATGGTGCTGATGATGGTGGTGATGATGGTGATGATGATTGTTGGGGCGATGCTGAGAATGCGGGCGT